TCAAACAAAATGGACGTTTCCTTTTCTTTTTTGTCAAATGGCATGCCTTCTGTCATATGATTTCAATATATATAATTTTGTGTAACATTCGTGCATAATTAGAACTTCGGTCATGCTTTGGTGTTGGCTAATTGAATCTAAGCATGGTATGCTCATAAACTCAGCGGGCTACTACAGTAAGAATTGTGCATTGCATATTTAGAATTAATGATAGTTTTTTTATTTTTATTCTATGGATTTATGGAATTAATATAAAAAGCTTTACTGATTTGCTGCCAAGAAATTATTGTTTAAAGTTAAAGAATTTAGGGAATTATTAAAACAAAGTCAGCAGTTAAGTTTTTTCGATAATTGCTAAGGTATTTTAGTTCAAAGTTCATAAAAAGTATATAAAATTATTATCAGTGATTTTTAATTTTATTAGTTTGAAATATCAACAACTATGCACCATTCAGATCTCTTCGATGAATCAAACTAATTTTAATAAATATAATATTTTAAAGTAAAAATATGCATTAAGCTAGAAATTATAATTTTTTATATTAGTGGTTTAATTTAATTAGTGATCTACCAGTCAACCAGAGAATGATTATAGTAAAAAGTAACTCAAATTACTATATAAATTTACTATAATGCGAATGTGGCGTGTATGCATCTAAAACTTTTTTTTATACTAAGTTAATTATCTTTCTAACTTAAGAGACTTTTGTAGAGCTTGTTAAGATGCATCTAATGGTGGTTATAGCATCAAAATTGGCTTGGTGAGTGCCGAGATATTTTTAAAAAATGTTTTTTTTTGCTATATAAACTTCTTTGCAAAGAAGTTTACATAGTAAAAGAAATGTTTTTTAAAGATATCTTGGCACTCACCAAGCCGATTTTGATGCTCTAACCACCATTAGATGCATCTTGACAAGCTTTACAAAAGTCTCTTAAGTTAGAAAGATGATTAACTTAGTATAAAAAAAGTTTTAGATGTGTGCACGCCACATTTGGAGACTCCAATTTTTATAAGTAATTTGAGTCACATTTTACTATAATCACTCTCTGGTTGACTGGTGGAACACCAATTAAAATATTGAAATTAGTTTGATTCATCGAAGAGATCTAATTGGTGCATATTTGTTAATATCTCAAGCTAATAAAATTAAAAATCTCTAATAATAATATTATATATTTTTTCAAACTTTGAACAAAAAATATCTTAGCAATTACCTATCTAATTTAATCAAAGTATGAAAAAACTTAACTGCTAACTTTGTTTAATAATTACCTTAATTTCGAACAATATTTTTCTGATAGCAAAATCAGTAAAGTTTTTATAATAAAAAACTTTTATTGATTCTGAAGAATATGCAATGTACGATTCTTACTATAATAGTCCACTAAGATTAGAAGTATATTGTGCTTAGATTTGATTAGCCAACTTTGATAATGAATTATTAAATATTTAAAAGCAAAAAGGATAATTAAATTCATTTTTTTAAAAAAAAATTTAATATACTAGCCTAAAATTTTATGTTGAGTTGAAGCTCTAACCTGAAAATTTTTAACCCAATCTGACTCAACACATTCAGAACACTAATCGTTTTAAATTTTGAAGAATTGAAGAAAACAAAATCATTTTTGAATCAATTAATACTTTATTAAATATTGTTATTATGATCCTAATTATGATGAATTAACAATACTACATGATTTTTAAAACTTTTTTAAATAGCAATTTTCTCTGGTTATTATTTACTAATTTCAGTTGTAATTAACTTTTGACAATAGGCTCTGTAGTTTTATTTGTAGAATTCTGAGTAATTCTGGTCAAATTTTTTGATCATCGCTCTTACTAATTAAAGTCAAGAATTTGCTGTGGCAGTAGCTAAGGTTATTAAAAAAGCTAGATGAAAATCACATAATATTTTTTAAATAACTGTTAATATGTAACTTGAAATTTGATTATTCTGATATGAAAATTTTAATTTTTAATCTAACTTTAATGTAGATTTTTTAATTTAAACTATTATATATATTGAAATTGATTCTTCAAAAAGATCTGATTGGTGTATACAGTGGATTTCATTTAAAGCCATCACCTCTTATATATAGGCATCAATTTTCTATCTGCAGTGTAACTTACTATTGTCCAATAGAAATTGCTATGTTTATCATGTGACTAACAATTTATATATATAGTGCATATAGCAATAATCGTTTCTTAACAATCACAAGCATGATGGAAGTTTGTTTTAATTGGCCGAATATTTGTTATGCACATTACACAAATTGGAAGATCATATTACACAAATCACATGATATTAACCAATAAAATGGCAAATAACCTATTACGTGCATAGTTAATTTAATTGCTTTGTTGCAGTCTTCATTGCGTGTTCGTATAATATGCAATTAGCCAAAAATATTAAATTTAGTAACTTTAATTTATACAGTCGTCCCTCCATATAGTCATCTCCCATATAATCACATAATATGTAATCACATTTTTATTTAGGCCAAACTATAATTTAATTTATAAAAAAAAAATCTCTATATAAGCACAACCTCTCTGTAAGCACATTTTAAAAAAAAAGTTACTATGTGCCCAACTGCATAATTGTATAGGAGGACAACTGTACTTCTTTCTCATAGAATAAAATAAAAATAAGGTTTAATAGGTGAATTATACTAGCATTAGATAACACAAAACATCATTTTAGGAGTATACATGATGGTTTTAATAAAATTAAATTAAATTAAATTATATAATAACACAATATAATATATATGTAAAAAATAATTAAATAAATAATAGTTAAAAAAAAGTTTAATTTTTTAATTTTAATAAAAAAAATTGTATTTAAATTGAAAGAAAAGTTTAAAACTTGTACACGTTATAATGACCTGAAAAAATCTTGGCCCTTGCTCAGTCCATAATTGTCAAATAGATACAAGTCAATATCATGAAATTACAGAAAATATGCTAAAAAAAGCAAAAGAAAAGGGCTCTTTTGATCAGCATAATTATCTTGAAGTCAGAAAACAATTATGTTATCCTTATTATCTTAGCATAACTGAACCTGATCGCAATAGCAAAAATAAGTTACTAGCCAATAATAAAAAAGTTATTGTCTTCTCGAATTTGGTACATAGCCTATTCTACCTCCAAGCAAAAAACAGATTGCAGAAATAAATAGTCTAATCACACTTTGAATAAAAGGCAATTCAAGAATGCTCCCTAAATACTCCACTTACTAACAGTCTTATGAACAAGGAGGGCTCCAAGCCCCATTATAAGCAATCTGCTTGATGCAAGAGCTTTGATGGTCTGGCTCAAACTTCTTTCCGGTAATATATTCTGGGCAAAAGTTGAACGGACAAGAATTGCAGACATATTATATAGACAATGAAACATCTCAATCAGACAAGCTTTAACCAGCTCTCCGATACGCAGTAAAGCCTGGCCCCCAAAATGGAAACCCTACCTTTTTGCATAGAAGAAAGCGGATGAGAGAGTTTTCTCCTATACAAATTGGCCTTGGAGTCTTGAAAACCTCTCTCTAGGGTGAAATTAATCAGTCACTGTTTTCAAACTCAGCACCGAACTGGATACTTCTTAAAGAAGTTGACAACAAGAAAAGAGATATCTTTTGGCATCTTGTGCATAAAGCTTTACCACTAGATTACAGACTTCAACATATTTCTGCCCAGGAATCAGGCTCCTGCCCATGGTGTGAAAATGACCAACAAACAATTGAACATTTTGCAACAGACTGCAGAATCAGCAAGAAGATATGGACAGAAGCTTACAAACTGATTAATATAAGACGAAAACCAAACATTCCATCCTCTTTGGAGGAAATTTTTACTGCAAAAAACTTTGGCGAGCGGAATCACCTTAACACAGCAATATGGATTCACATAATCACAATATATGAAATTTGGTGTTGGTACACAAATGCCAAATGGGGCAATGCAGATAATGTAGAAGCATCAATTTCTTCAATCATTAGTGCTCGAATTCGAAAAGAAATCCGAGCTCTAAGTTTAAACTCCCGTTTGGGTTCTGTAAATAGAAAAATTTGTAAATATCTTAGTAATGTTAATTAATATTTAAGAATTTAATAAAGAGCACCACACGTGCCCACATGCCACTTAGGCAATCTGGGATAGTCAAAAAAAAAAAAGTTATTGTCGAGCTTGAAGTTTTTATGGAAATTGATAGTTTAACCGAAATCCATACTAAACTACTAACCGATGATGAAATAAAAAAATTAAATAATGATGAGTTAGTTAGTTTAATTGAAAAATTAAAAAAAGAATTATAAGATAGAAAGAAAGGTGTTAATAATGCTAATAAGTTAATATATAATAATAATGAAATGAAATAATTATAAGTAGGCCATTGTCTTTTTGTGAAAAAATTGTTTTAATAACTAAAGTCCTCTATGAAAAATAAAGAAAAAAAAATCATACACTTGAATTAGACCCCAACAAATTTCAATCAATGCTTGAAGAACTATACAGAGCAAAAAAAAAACTAGTTAATATATGCTATTCAATGGCAGCAATTCGAAATAAATTTGCAAACAATTATTCTCTAGAGGTCGGATTATATCTCGTAGCATCTGGTGCATCATGTGATGCAATTAATACTATGCATAATGCTGGTATTACAGTTTGTTATAAGACTATAGATAGTTATAGAAAAAGGATCACAAGTGAATATCCAGAAAAGATTCAGGAATATTTTACTGAAAAGGTAGTAGTCTAAGGATATCTATAATATTATTAATAATTAAAATTTAATTAATGTTTTTTAATTATTAGAGTAACAGTTTTTTCATGTATAATATTGATAATTATTATAATATACATAAGATAAGACGTCCTGATACTGTATTTCTCTCAGCACCAATCTATTATGCAACTTGTGTTAGTAAGGACAATAAATTATAATGGTAATTCTGTTCACAATCTCAACAATATAGATGCATCATTAATTTGTCTAAATTTAATCACAAAATATCATCAATGGATTGCTTTACAAAAAACAGAATTACTTAACTTTGATAAAATCGATCTTCTTTCTGTTCATTGCTATGACGATGCTATTAGAGAAATAAAAAAAGAAAGAAGTATGGAAAGAGTAAGATTAGTTGGAATTAAAGAAAGCAATCTTCATTCTCTAGATAACTATCTAAATGCACTAGATATAATTCTTTCAGTAAATCAGGATATTGGATCTAAATTATTAACTTTAATGAACTTAAAAGGTATATTTATAGCAGTGTGGTTGGTTTCACTAAAAAACCTTGGACCTCAATTTATTTTCGATCTTACACTTAACTCTTATAAGCTGGTTTTTAAAGAATTAGCCAAATATCTTGAAATTTAATAGAAACTGAGGCTTGCTGGCTAGTGCTAATGATTATGTAATTCCAGTTGTCACTGACTGGCCTGGACAACTTTTTTATGAAAGGCATTAACTTATATAAATTTACAAAACAGAAATTCAAAAATACTTGTGGCTGTTAATGCCTTTGTATCTATGTTAGGCCCTCAGAAGTAAGTTCTAAAAACTTATTATTCCTTTTTTGAAAAATTGTTTCACTCAGTTTTTGGTAAAGATATAGAATATAGAATGTTAGTCAACCAAAGATATAGAATATAGAATGTTAGTCAATCTTCTTGATAACATAATTCTAGCAACTTTGGATGTATACACAGTTCTGTTTCATTCTGGTTCTTTTGACGAATATGTCGAAACTATTTTCCAAATATGGACTTTCGCATTATGCTAGAACCGTAAAAATTACAACAAGGCTCCTCTAGCATTTTTGTCAGATATCTTTTATTGGCAGAACACAAAGCATCCAATGCTAGATGCAGTTAAAATGTTTTTAGTAAATTTCAATGATTATTTCATTGAAAATTTATATAGTCAAATAAGAGCAAACACTTTATCATATGATAGCATTAGTACTATTATTCAACAAACTTGTCTTCTAGGTAAGAATAAGACAAAATTATTTTAAAGCAAATTAATAATTACTAAATTATAAAATAAAAATAAAAAAATAGATACAAATTGTCATTCCTCATTTAAAGAAACATTCAATACTAAAAAAAGATATCCATACATACCTTCTGCTTTTGAATACTTGACAAATAAAACATCATTGTTCTTGCTGGATTATTTTCGTTAAATATTCCAAAATATTAGTATGGTTGCTAGCACAACAAATAACAAAAAAAATCAAGGCAGAAAGGGAAAAAATAAAAAAAATTTAGAATATAAGCTTAATGTCTTGAATGAGGAGGTTGATTTAACTTGTTTACCAATGGGCTATAGTCAGGGACAGTGATTTTATGCAGTGACAAAATCTAAATTATGTGATATGAAAAAATGAATTATGCGATGTAATATGAAATGATTTTTTCGAGATTATGTGCAGTTATGTGGTCTGAGTAGCTGATTATGTGCCAATATGTGATCAAATTCGAAATAAAAATTTTATTAAATGAATATAAAAAAATAAAAAAAATTGTATCCTAATTTCCATTAAAATACATCATTGCTAAAAATTTTAATGATTCTTCAGATAAATTTTGCCTATTATTATCTAAGATTGTATTATATAATGAAAAGCTACGTTCAACACTGCTATATTTGACAAAATCGGAAGTTGAGAATTTAAATCCAACCAAAACTCGTTTAATCCTGCTTCTTTAAACCTGA